TAATTAGTAGTTTTACTTAGTTTAGTTAGTAGAGTAGTTTAGTTAATCAATCCTTAATCTAGTTTGCTAGATAATGAACCGAAGCTGAGTAATAGTAACTCTAGAGACCCGTGGATTCGATATTTATTACTTGTGCCACTATACTGCAGTCCCTTTCATTGGTTACACTTGGCCATTGTTAGGTGTTGTGTTTTAGCGTGTCAATTAGGTTATGTTAATTTTGGTTATAAATAGTCTTGCTCTTCTATTGTAAAAACACACGTTATTGTTGAGTTTAATCAAAGTTACTCCGAGGAGTCTTTCCCTTAATCACGAGTGCTTGAGTTTGGTCTTGGATCGAGATCCTCGACTTGCAGACTTCGAGATCAAACCATCACCTTGATCTCGAGGTGTTCTTCTACCCAAACCAGCCTTCTTCCCCTTTAGTGTTGAAGTTGCTAGTTTGGTTCTTTTATCCGCAAAATCCCTTACTTGATTAACACCAAAACCCATCCTCCATCTGTCATTCGTGTGTGGTCGAGTGATTTGAGAGTTCGAGCCCTACTTGGGACTCATCATGCTTCGTAATTACTTGTATCATTTTTTTGGCTCAAGATAGGGTGCATAATCATTCTTAAGATCGATCTAGAAAAGGCTTATGACAGGTTAAGGTGGGACTTTCTCCAGGACACTCTGAAGGAAGTTGGTCTCCCAAGCACCTGGATAGTGCTATCATGCACTGTATCACTCTAAACAGGGTGCAGGTCCTTCGGAATGGACAACTCTCTCAACCTCTCACTCCGACTCGAGGAGTTCACCAGGGAGATCCCTTATCCCCCTATCTTTTTGTTCTTTGTATGGAACTCCTTTCTCATTTGATTGATGAAGCTGTCTCTGATGGTCAATGGAAAGCTCTTAGGCTCTCCAAGAATGGCCTACCTCTCACTCACCTCTTTTTTGCATATGACCTCCTGTTGTTTGCACAAGCGGAGACTCGACAGATTAGGGTCATTAAGCGGTGCCTGGACGACTTCTGCTCTAGCTTTGGCCAGCGGGTGAATTATCACAAGTCCATCCTCTATGTCTCCCCTAACATCAACCGCGGAAGAGCAAGCCGTATGAGCCAGCAAACGTGCATCCCTCTGAAAATGGCTCTTGGCAAGTACTTGGGCATCCCGACGATTCATGGGCGCGTGACTAGAGAGAGATATCGGCCTCTTCTCCTTCGCATCCAGAAGAAGCTGGCTCCTTGGAAAGCTAAACATTTATCCTTTGATGCGCGGCTTACAGTGGTTAATCGGTTTCTGCTTCTATCCTGGTTTATCACATGAATACTGAGCTTATACCCAGTGGTGTGTGTCACAGTATTGATAAGATGAACATGGATTTTGTCTGGGCGGAGGAGGAGAATAAGAACAAGATGCATCTGGTGGCTTGGGATAAAATGGCGGTGCCAAAGAAACATGGAGGGGTGGGCATCTGCCCTACCAGACAGGCCAATCTGGCCATGCTGGAAAAAGGGGGATGGAGGCTCATCAAAGAGAAGGAGACTCTCTGGTCTCAGATCATGCACGCCAAATACGGTCGTCAAAGGGAGAACCTGGACATCCTTTGCAGTTCTCAGGGAAGTTCCTTCACTTGGAAAAGCTTTTCTAAAGCTGCTGATGTGTTAAAGCAAGGGTCTGCATGGAATATTAAGAATGGTAAATACACTAAGTTTTGGTTGGATCCTTGGGTTTTGTAGGGGAGCCTGAAAGAAGTGGCAATTAAGCAAGTTGCTGAGGATATGGAGCAAATGACGGTAGCTGAGTACGTGACAACCGATGGAGCTTGGCTCACAGACATGTTCGAGGCCTTCCTCCCTCCCGAGGTATGCACGAAGATTCTTAGCGTGGCTGTTGACACGCTCTCTAACGAAGAGGACACCCTCTTCTGGACTGCTTCCCCGGACGGAAAGTTCTCCACCAAGTCGGCCTTCACCCTCCTCACTCCGCAGCCTCAAGATCAGGATGAGAAGCTCTGGAAGACGGTCTGGTACCTACCAGTCCCGGAGAGGGTCCGCTGTTTCATGTGGCAAACGTGCACCGGGAAGATTGTCACTAACAGCTTACGTTTCCACAGGAAAGTTTTTTTTTTACGAACACAGGAAAGTTGATGCGAACCCGTTCTGACAGAAGTGTCCGGGGTCTCCAGAGACAATCTTGCACACTCTTAGAGACTGCCCTCCAGCTACCTTCTTCTGGCTTCGGCAGACCGCGGGAATGCAACAACAAGACTTCTTCACTCTCGATCAGAAAGACAGGCTGCGCAACAATCTCTCGAGGACAAAAGCACTGGCGACAGGGATGCCTTGGCCTACCTTCTTCAGTACAGCGTTGTGGCTCATTTGGAAAAACCGTTGTGTTCTTTGTATGCAGGGTATCAGAGCAGCTCTCACCCCTCCCTCACTTGAGCACTCGATTTTGGGCAAGGCAAAGATGTGGTATAATGCTTGGCTCGCCCATTCTCTTCTTCCCTCCAAGGGAAGTCGACCAGCTGACAGAGTTGAGGAGGAAGTGGGTTGGAAGCCACCGCCAGATGGATGAATCGTGCTCAATACCGACGGAGCCTCCAACGACAGTCCTGGGCCAGCAGGGGCTGGGGGTGTGTTGCGCGATCAGATGGGACGCTAGGTTGCAGGTTTTGTCGCCAATCTTGGCACCGCCACGGCGATTCTCTCGGAGTTTTGGGGAATCTCCTTCGGCCTGCACATCGCTTGGAAGTATGGAGGAAGAACTATTCACATTCAGACCGACTCACAGCTGGCGTTGCAGCTCCTTAAGGCTAGACATGACCCGATCCACCCTTATGCTACTCTTCTTTTCGCCATTCGCAGGAAGCTTAACTGTGACTGGTTGGTTCGCTTAACGCATACTTATCGGGAAGGGAATAGAGTCGCAGACTAGCTCTCGAAGCACAGTCTCGTCTATCCCTACGGTATGCATGAGTTAGCGAACCCACCTTCGAAAATTAATTCTCTGCTTCGAGAGGACATCATGGGCATCACCAGCACCCGTAGGGTGGTTGCTACCTCTTCTTCCCCTCTTTTCACCTACCCCATGTAATTCTCTTTCTTTTGGCTTTTAGCCTCCCTCTGATGCAAAAAAAAAACATGGGTTATGCTAGGGGTGGGAAACGGGACGGGATTGGGTACCCGTCCCGTTTGAAACGGGTACCCAATCCCATTTGGAGACCAAAGTTCATCCCATATCCCAAACCCGGACGGGAAACGGGTACCCGTTAACCCAAACGGGACGGATAACGGGTACCCAAACTACCCGTTTATACCCGTTCAATTACAAAATCACCTAGAAAAAAATATTAAAATCAAACTTTAAATAAACTATAAACAAAGCTGTTGTCTCCATAAATTACAAGAAATGAAATTGGCACATTCAACAACATGAAATGATAAAGAAAGCTACTGCCTCCCAAAATTAATATGACAATTGACAGTTAACATGGAATAGATTGGCAGCTATAATCCTTCCTCACCCTTCCTTGAATACAACCACATTCATTTCCAATCGACTTCATCGCCAAAGCATTTTGCCTGTCTTCTTCCGAGTTCGATGGAGAGCAACAGCAGGCAGCAGCTGTAGCAAGTCGAGAGTGAGAGGAGAGTAATCGCTAACGCTTAGGGCCGAGTGAGGGATTGGTAAGAGGGAGAGCCTGGCGACCTAGTTTGATATAAGAAATGGGTTGGACTGCGACTAGGCTTGGCCGTTTGGGCTGGGTTTTAAATTTGGGTTAAATGAATTTATAATTTTAATGGGTAATACGGGTACCCAAACTACCAAAACGGGTATTTGCGGGTAACCCGCGGGTACCTGAAGTTGAGATTCTTAATCCCAAATCCCATCCCGCAACAAATTTAACGGGTATTTGGGTACCCGTAACCCTCCAAAAACGGGACGGGTTTGGGTATACCCAAATACCCGTTTCCCGTTGCCCACCGTAGGTTATGCACCCATCAATAACCAAATCTGGACCCTTCATTTAGAAAATCCAGATCAAAGGATGGAGAATTAAAGACCATTTTTTATTTTTTCTAGCTTTCTTAATCGGCTCATATCTTCTTCGTTTTAACTCGGATTTTAATTTTTTTTTTGCACAGATGGAACGAGTTCATCGTGCTCTACAAAATGAGATCTATTTTCAATATTTTTTTAGGAAAAAAAATTCTTGCCTCTCGGTACCAACTGCGTACCATATGGTATTTTCTTCGTTTTTAATTCGTTTTTGAAAACGTTTGCATAGAAGGGACGAGTTCATCATGATCTATTGGATCTACAAATTTTTGGGTGAACAAATTACAGGACCAAAAAATACCACACAATACCACCCTGGTACGAGGTGGTATCTTATGGTATACAATGTTAAAAGTCGTAAATGACAGTTAATATACTTCTACTATCATGTATTCAACCATCTTACAGTCTTGGTTTGTTCATACCACCATGGTACGCTTTTCAAACCATAGGTATGCTCTTAATTTCAATACCAGTCAATACCATATGGTATAGACTGGTAAAAAATGGTTCAATTTTTTTTGGTCGAAAATATATCAAAGTGAATATCATTTTGAAGAGCATAATTAATCTGATCTAACTGTGCAAAAAAATAAAATAAAATTTCGACTTAAAACGAGTGAGAAATCGTCCGTCAAAGATTAAGGAGGGGAAAATTAAAGACTTTCCAAGAGAGAGATGATACTGATGTCATGCTGATGTGTACGAGTTACTCATGGTTACTCACCATAAGGTTACTGACCTGATCCGTTCCTTTTTTATACGAATTACGGATAGGGAATTTAAGTGCAGCTTCCAGATTAGCAATATCCTTAATGAAGTCAACTTTTATGTTTTGCACACCAAAAAAAGAAGTTTCTTGACGTTTCAAATTAATTTCTTTCTTTTTCGTGAAGGATTTATGAAACTATCTTATTTGAGTAATTGGAAAGAATTCGTCAAATGAAAAAAATAAGGAAAAAAAATTCATTTTTGTGCATAAACGATATTCGTCTAAAATTCAAATATGCAGTACCTAGGACATACTTAATCTTTTTAGCTCGAGACTTCTATAATTTTTGGGTGAAATAGGTTATACTTAAACCACCAAGAAGGGGATGGGATATGGTGACAACCCCTTAATGGGGTTGTGAGTTTGACAACCCACTTTATAGCCATTAGATGTATTCTCCCTCTTGTCTCTCTCTTGTTATTTTTTAATTGAAGGTTGAGATGAAAAGAAGGGTGTTTTTGGGATGAAAAAAACTTACCACACCCTATCATTCTCCCTTCGATATAAAATAATAAAACCCTAATCTAACCCATACCAACTTCACAGCCGTTCACCTCCTTCTTCCCTTCCTCCCCCTCTTTCGCGGACGTTGCCGCCGCCGCATCTCGCTCTTCCTCCCCCATGCCCACCGCCACCCCGACCTCCGCCGCGTCGGCTGTTCCTGCCGCCCTGCCGCGCCCGCTGTCCCCACCGCTCCTGCCGCGATACACTGCCCCCGCCGCCATTTTTACGTCGCCGTCGCGAGGTCGATGACTCTTCCCTGCCCGCCTCTTTCCTCATCCCTATTTTTTTCCAGATCTGATTTGTTGTGTTAGTATCTACTGGTATGTACCAGTGAGCACCGGTAGGTACCAATACCACTAGTAGCGCTACTGGTACGCTACCACTACTCACTGGTACGTACCAGTGGCTCCCCTTTTCTAGATCTGTTTTTTTTTTCCCGACTAGTGGTACCATTTTTCTTCTAGTAACATACCAGTGATAGTGGTACGCTACCACTACTCACTGGTACGTACCAGTGGCTCCTCTTTTCTAGATCTGTTTTTTTCCCCGATTAATGGTACCATTTTTCTTCTAGTAGCATACCAGTGATAGTGGTACGCTACTCTCTACTGGTAGCGCTACCAGTGCTAGTGGCACGATACCACTAGAAAAAATCTATAATAGTAGAATAATGGACTGATACACTTTTTAACGCATTTGTACATTTTTTCAGGTTGCCGGAGGAAGTCTGTCGGAGAGATTTCGCCGGAGGAAGTCTGTTGAAAGGATTTTCACCGACGGTCGATGCGGAGTGGCTGCTGAAAAAAGAAAGAGAGAGATTGATAGAGATATAAATGTATATATTTAAATTTAAAAAAAGCTTGTATTTAATGAGTTTTTAATTCCCAATGTAATTAATAAAAAAACAAGTTTAATATATTCCTTTTTTCCATACCCAAAATGCCCTTGGTTGTCAATCTGACAACTCCAAGGGGGTTGTCACCATATCCCGTCCCACCAAGAGATAGAAGTGGTTAACTAAAGATAAGAGAGAACCTTCTACCATTCAAGCCTCTAATCCGTCACCTAATTAGATTGCAAGCCTTAAAGAGTAAAATCCAAATCAAACTAATAGAACTTTCCTTTTCTTAAATACAAGGACTTCTCGAAGTCGCTCGTTTTAGAAGAACAAAAGAATCACATCTACGATTAGTTTTTCCTTCAAAGAGGACATATTCTTAAACCCAGATACGACCACAAGTTGCGGAGAAAGAGTAGCAACTCGTCTCCAACCGAACATTCCATGTCCTTTCCTTATTTCACCTTTCGTCCCACGAAATGGATTTATGGCTTTATGCCCTTTTCCCCCTCTTCCCGCGAATACAAACCAACAAGATTCTGCCTTTAATAAAACCAAAACCCCAAATCCGACCTTCATCAAGAAAGCGGTCATGTAGGCTGCTTCTAGTTCATGCAAAGTGGAAACATGTACCGTTTACGTAATATAAACTATATATATATGTAATAACAATGTCACTTCAACATTCCCATAGAAAACATTCCACTGTCTGGTAGTTACTATTAATTCGTTAATGGAAAATTTACAAACACTATCTCACTTGGTTCTAACAAGGTCTCCCTCACCCCTTCATGAAGTTTCATCCCGGATTGAGGGATTCAAATGCGTCGCAGAGAGGCCAACCTTTTCTCGAGTTCCTCAACATCAGCAGACTCGGTGCTACAATGACATGAACCATGTACCAGTTAACGAAAAGAAGAGCAAAGAAAAGTAAAGCACAGAACAGCCAGGAAAGTCATATGCAGGATCATTCAGCAACCCCAACAGTAAATTCAAGATCAGCTCTAGATGAGAGGAAGGTGAATGCATGTTAATGGAGATACTGAGATCTCAGAAAATTTACAGATGCAGCAGGAACAGCCAAGTTATATAATTCCAAGAGAACTCAGGAGATCTTTTTGATGTAGGATTGACTCATGGATTTGTGCACGAGTAGAGAGGATGGTTCTTTCAAAACCCTAGTTCAGTTGAGCAAAAAGGATACCAAGTCTATGGACGTGTCAAATGCGTGGGCCTCATGGATTTCACAAAACCACTCCTTGATGTTGTGAATTCAAATCATTCATCCTTTTAGAGATCACAATCCATTGCTAAATCATACATCCATAATTTCTCAATTCCATGGACTTTGTACTAAGGATCACATTTCCTTGATTCAGATAACTCGTCAATTTTTTTTTTCTGAACAACATCTCCATATGAGATTTTGAGCAATTGAACCTCAAACGAAAGTAAAATTGCGTACCTAGCAGCAGCTGCAGGTGCGTTCTTTGATGCAATACGTCCTTTGGGAGCTGAAGACAACTGTTGAGTACAAACACAAAACCAATTAGACATCTCAGTGAACAAATATTAAGAGCCATCAAACTTTAAAATTATATGAGCTGATGATGAATCTATGAATGAAGTTCCAAAATGCCAACCTGAGATGCAATATCAACACCTATCTCATCAAGAACCTGCAAGATGCATCACACATATTGATTAAGACTGATAGCCATGGAATGCAAGACAAAAAAGAAGATATATCATCAGCATTTTGACCTGGTTAGTAAGCTCCTCTGTCTCCTCTTCCGCTTCATCTTTGTCCAATGTTTCATCAATAGATTCTGACATCATTTCGATCTGAAACAAAATAGCAGAGCTGGGATGAATGGCATTTCACTATTTTACTTCTGAAGTATGTAAACAAAAATGAGACATATCACATGAACACCACCAAACAGCTCACAGTCACAGCACACTTTTAAGGGTTTTCCATCATTTTTCAAGCATCCTCTTCTTAAGAATCTCAACTAATGGCTTACGAGACAGTTTCGAGAGAAGGAATTGAAAAATAGAAAATAAAAGTTTACAATTATAAAGCAGAGCAAGTAGAGGTAGAGAAAATCACCGTCATATCCAGTTGTGATGACTGCTTCTGGAATTCTCTGATCACTTTAATTTGTTTTGCAGGCGCCATTTGCTGGAAAGATGTAAGAAGATTGGTAAGCTAAAAAAAGAACACTTGACCACAAGTTTAGAAGGTTTATCATTATAACAATTCCAAAGTCACTTTGATTAGTAACAAGGTAACGAGTTCTTCTTAATAATTCCATATTTCTCACACAATTTTTTTTCTTCTTCATAACACTCATAATCACAACCATATATTTGATGAGCATCACAATCCGAGAGCATCAATACACTTCCAATGAATATACCTTGTTCATAGCTACCATGGCCTTAGTTGCACCTTTCATCCCAGTAGAAATCGAAGTGCTGGCATAGAGAGCCTGAGATCACAAAGTCCAACAGCAGGCCCATCAGAGGAAAACAAATCACTAGACACAGAGCCACATCTTTCTACCAACTGATTTCTGCTGACAAATCGACAATTACTAACCTGTGTATGCGTAGCGACACCTCTGATTTGGGCACGGCTTCCTTGCAAATTCGTGATCTGCTGCCGAAGCCTGACCAATTGTCGGGCTAGGATTCGGGTAGCAGCCTATGTTTAAACAAGAAAATGAAGTTGCATACAAGTAAATCAAATAAGTCCGGAACCAACTACCCTACAGCCTGACACCCAATCACCATTAAACTACTGGAAAACAGCATGAACACAAACTTGCCTCGTTCCCAGTTTTGGCTTCTTTCTTGATCTCCGCCACCAATTTCTTTTCCTGGAACGGGAAAGAGAGACAGAGAGAAAAAGATTCAGCCAATCTAATAATTAGGAGATAATAAAGTAGAGTCACAGGCGTTATAATCACCAGCATCGTACCTCCATCTGAAGAGAAGCAATTTCCCTTTCAATACCTAGAAAGCAGCAGGAGACATCAAACCGAAATTGTCATTCGAGCAAGATCAGAATGCGAGTCTATATTTGGTGTTGTAAGAGATAATGAAAACATAATTTTGGGGCTCGAGGTTCTAGCGGTTGACAAAATGGGCATTATTACCTCTGGTGGCAACCGCCATGTCTCTCTTGCTGCTCCTAAGAGCTTCTGTTGAATAATGGGGACATGAATTAGAGGAAACGAGGGGAGATTTACAAAGAGAGGGGGGAGACAGGAGAGTAAATTACCTTTGGGAGATGTTTTCTTCCTGAAGATGTTCATGGTGACTGATAGCTGGGTCGCCGCCGCCGCAGCAAGAGCAGAAACCCTAGTAGAGGGGAGTGTTTGGAGCGTTGGGTTGAGGGAGAGTTAGAATCGGGAAACCATAATCGGATTCGGATCTTCGACGCGGCTTTCTTAATGGATGGGAATGCGGCAAAGTCCTAAGAGAGTGAACGAGTGAGTAAAGACTCGAGGAAAAGAAAAAGAGTTTATGGATGGATGCTTTGGGGAGCGTGCGCGCTTAGGGTGCTTGTTTGGTTTTGGTCCGATGTTGTCGAACTTCCAACGTTACAACGAAGCCCAACTAGCCGTTACACACTTGTGCTGATTTTACCCTTCTGTCCTTTATGTCCACATGTAACTTTCCGAGTTTGAGTTTCCCACCTCTTTTACTTTTTTTGGCAAATACAATACAATATCCATAACTATTATGTATCGGGGATTTATATCCACAATTATTAATATACAAAGTATTATCTAATCGTTAATTGTCCGTTAATACCCTGTTAGAAGGTTTTTTTGCAATGCTGACCTGGCAAAAAAAGCTGAGGTGGAATTGAGAACGTGGCATCCCAGGTGGAATTGATTAAGTAATAATAATAAATAACATAAAACTTAAAAAATAAAGCAAGCAAATATCATCCCCTCCTCTCACATCCACTCACTCAATTCTTATCCTAAACCCCTTCTTCTCTCATCTGTCCATCTCCCCCTTCGTCTACGAAGACACGAAGTCGCCGACGATCCACTCACCTTCTTGCAGGCGTGGCGGCGAGAATGCCACCGCCTGAGTCCCCCCGCCCCCACTTCATCCGACGAAATCGCACAGTTGTCCCGCGCCAGAGGAAGTGTAATCGACGCGGCAGAGGAGACTGGACGATTCGCGAGACTTCCATCGCCTGATTCCGTCGCCACAGTTGTCCTGTGCCGGAGCAGTCAACGACTTTGGGTAGACAGATCAAAGCCAGACTGGACGATTCCCGGGACGAAGGTAATGTGATTCTGGTTTGTTCCGTCAAAAGCTTACCAGTATCGAAAGATTAGGTTTTCAGTACCGATTCTCCAATTCGAACAATACCCATTATGTTGGCTTAGGGTTGTGTTGATTCCAGCCATGCCATGTTGTCCGCTATTTATAGTTTGCTTATTAGAAACCGTTCGTGCAAGTTGGTTGTGAGGACCACAGTGGGACCTTTTCAAATTGTTCACGAAATTGCCCTTGTATCTATGTGAAAGAAATTGGAATTGGTGGATATAATGGTCAATTGCAGTGGGTTGGAATTCTAATTTTCCCATCTTTTGATAACCAACACATGTGAACGAGAATATTTTATGGTTGTTGTTGTGTCTATTTGTTTTCAAGCAATATAACAACCTGTATAATACTTGACCATGCAGATGACTGACTACATGGGGATTGACTACCATCACGGAGGCGAGATGGACTTCTCCGATAATGAACCACGATATGTGGGGGTGATTGTGAAAAATTCAACGTTGATGTTGATCAAGTGTCCTACTTTGGACTTGTGGCATTGGCTACAGTGCACTTGCACTATGAAGGCGTCCGGAAGATTTGGTACTTGACCCCGGGATCCACGATGTCTGATGGCCTGTATGACGTGAAATCTGATAAGGAGCTGATGGAGGGGCTGCTTGTTGATTTAGACGATACTAAGGTGGTTACTGTGTATGCTGAGGTAATTGAGAAGGGAGATGGACTCATGGGAGACAACGAGCAGGCAGACATATTTAATGTAGATGATTCTGACGTGGAAGAGGGATCTGAGGCAGAGGGGGCTGATATTGGTTCTGGTGAAGAGGGATCGGAGGAAGAGGTGGCTGATAGTGGTTCTGATGAAGAGGGATCGGAGGAAGAGGGGTCTGATAGTGGTGATGGTGAAGAGGCAAACCAATCTCGTGCTGCTGTGGGATCAGATGAGGAGGATGAGTCTGACGAAGACTTCGATCCGGATGAAGCATCAACACCTACACACAGAAGTCAGCATGTATTAGATGATGAAGAACCCGAGGACATGATGGATAATCTTCCATTTTATGATCCACTGTGTGATCACAAACAGTTTGAGTTCCATGTGGGACTTAAGTTTCTAACTGTTGAAACTTTCAAGAAAGTTGTCGCCACACATGCAGTTTCTGTTGGGGCCAGTGTGTGTTGCAATCGAAGTGAACCTCGTCGGGTGGAGTTCCATTGTAAATATGTTGCTTGTAAATGGAGGGTCTACGGTGCATGGTGGGCAGACAGGTCGTATTTCATGGTGAGAAGGGTTGGATTTCCTCACTCTTGTACTAGGTCGACACGAGTGAACCTAGCTACGGCTCGCTTCATCGCCGAACACTTTATTGACCGTTTCAGAAGCAATCCCGATTGGAAGGGTCCTCAAATTGCAATGGAGGTCAAAAGAGATTTGGGTGTCGACGTTGAGGTAAGGACATGTTATGGAGCTAAGGCCATTGCTAAGGAGATGATGAATGGTACACTTGTACAAGAGTACCACAAACTGAGGGATTATGTGGCTGCTCTAATGGCAGCAGATGAAGAAGGGAGGTTTTTTCTCGAGGTTGATCCAGATCCTGTATTAGAGGACAAGGTGTATTTCAAGCGGATCTACATCGAGTTCTCTAGTCTTAGAAAAGGTGTGTTGGCTGGTTGTCGCCCCATTTTCTCTCTCGATGGTGCCTTTTTGAAAGGCGAAGTGTCTGGGATGTTAATTACCATTGTGGCCAAGGATGGAAACAGCCATATAATTCCATTCACGTGGGCCGTCGTTGAGGGGGAAAATAGGAGTTCTTGGACTTGGTTCCTGAACACTCTACAAGAAGAGTTAGGATTCGGTGATGGAAATGGTTGGAGTGTAATTTCAGACCAACAAAAGGTGAGTGGTGATTTATGTACATGATCTTTTTTCATTCCAACATCATATTTTCTGCATTCTAATATTACTACATAATTTCAGGGACTAGTTGAAGCAATTCATGAAGTCATGCCATTTGCGGAACATAGGAAGTGCGCCCGACACGTCTTTGCTAATTGGAAGACTAAGGTTAAGAACGAGCATATGAGAAAAGTGTACTGGGAGGCAGTTTATGCGACTAATGAGGTTGATTTTCGAGCTGTCACCCAAAAGATGGAAGTGTTCCAAGGTACGCAATCGCAAATGACACCCTACACTGACTTTATGGAACAAGATCCAAAAATGTTGTGCCGTGCTTTCCTATCTAGAGTGCCCAAATCAGATTCAGTGGAGTCAAATATTTGTGAAAGTTGGAACAATGTGGTTGTTAAGTACAGAGAATATAGGATAATTGAGATGTTAGAGGGTATCAGAACTCATATTATGGTGATGATGAGGAAGAAGCACAAGAAGTTTGACAGGATGCATGGTTTGATTTGCCCTCGTCCTATGAGTGAGATACTGAAAAAGGATGAAGATGCAAGGAAGTGTGTTTCTCTAGCTAGCAGCGAGCACATGGTAGAGGTGAAACTTGGGAATTCACCGTTTGTTGTCGATTTGAAGAACCGTACATGTACATGTGGTGCTTCGGACCTAAGTGGTCTCCATTGTTGCCATGTACTCTCTGCTATTGGGCTAATGAGGCCGCACTTGGAAGATTACGTGGATCCCTTCTACTTTGTACCTACTGTTGCTAAAGTTTACAAAGTAGGAATTCCATGTCTTGTGGGGCAGCAAGCCTGGCCTAGGGATGAAGGGTATCCAATATACCCTCCAAAGCAAAAAAAGATGCCAGGGAGACCAAAAAAAGAAAAGGAGAAAGGAAGCAGGTGAACTTGAGAAAAGGTTGCACAAAGATGGGAGGCCTTTGGGTACAAGAATGTCAAAAAAAGGAGTGTTGTTGCATTGCTCAAACTGTGGGAGTACTGGTCACAACGTGAGAAAATGCTCCAACCCACAAACTGGAGGATCAAACCGCGGCAGGGGTAGTATCTAACTGTGAAAGAGGTAGAGGGCAGCAGGCTGGAGGATCTAACTGTGACAGAGGTAGAGGGCAGCAGGCTGGAGGATCAATCCGCGGCAGAGGTAGAGGGCACCAGGCTGGAGGATCAACCCGCGGCAGAGGTATATGGCAGCAGGCTGAAGGATCAACCCGTCAAAAGGTATGCCACTTGTTCATGTGCTAGTTTGAATATTTTGAGAAAGTTGATTGATTGGTGTCTTGTGTGGTATTCCTAGAGGGTTATGCACTGCTCTAAATGTCGGTCAACGGCACATAATGCAAGGAGTTGTCCAGAGAATTTGAACCAACCAGCACGTGTAAGACTCTCATATGCCATATAATCCTTGACTCCTTTACTGCTTTACATGATATTATGAACTTTGAACCCTTAAGTTTGTTTTCCTTATGTAGAAATCAAGAAATGGGAACCTTCACAAGAACTTGGTGGTGGATGGAGAAGTTAGATAGGCTCTAGGGGTTGATTGCATCTATGAGAATCTTGCAACTAGATCGGGAGATGGAGCTGGTACTTCTGCAGAGGGAGTTGGAACTCAGCCAACTCAGATTGATACAACGGGAGCTCCTTCAACTCAACTTGAGTCTCAACCACAACATATGGCTTGAAGACCTGTGTGTGGACTGTTTCTTTGTTATGTTTTAGCTTTTGTCTATGGTAGAACAGTATGTTAATAGGGAGGATGTTTGCAATTTTAGCTTGTAAGGTGATTCCGGTTTGGTTCACCACATTTTGCATTTTGTACAAGCTCAATTCATCTTTTCCCAAACACTACGCAAGTATCTAGCATTCTGGAACAATTCCAATCGAGATTTGTAAGGTGATTCCAGTTGGTTCACCACATTTTGCATACTGTACAGGCTCGCTTCATTTTGTCCAAAATAGTGCAGATGTAATGTTGTCAACTTCTTTTGAAATGATTTAGCTTTGGTACAAGGTGTCTATATATTACGTGTTATAGAAGTGCTCAGATCGTACGAAACAATACCGAAACTGAAGTTTACTTGTTTTCCACATATCACGACAATGCTCAAACTAGAATGGAATTGAACATTACATAAGTGTTTGCTTACATTTTCCTACACCTCAAACTCCCTGGAATCTACAGAATGCAGCGTAAACTATGACACCAATTAGACAGTACATCGGCCTTATTATCTTCGTGTCAAAGCTAGAGATAATGTTGCTCATTCTGCTCAGCTCGGAAACCAACCTTGCATGACTTTCTCTCATTCTACTCAACTCTTCTAACAGCTTGTTGTTGCTTGCTTCCACTTCCATAAGTTTTGCCTTAAGACCAACTGTCTCATCATCATGTGTAGACCACACTGATCCATTCCTTCTCATATACTTATACACCCATAGGAAGAACCGACAATCATTCGTCTACAAATGAAAATAAAGCTATTACTAAGATGAAGGTCATAGGTAAACAAACCCAACGTGACAAACAAAGACAATTACCTTCCAATTTTGACAATAATAAAACTACCTTCCTGGATTCCTACTAGTACCAGACTTGTTCACGATGCAGGGTTTGTTACAATGGCACAGCGGCCCGACAACGTCATTTGTGTTGGCTGAACCAGAAGATCCCTCCAATGCAGACATTATTCTTCTTACTGAAAAGAAACATCCCATTCGTGTATCAAACTGGGGTTTTAGCACAACCTTTTCCTAATTCCAACCAGTTGACGATGGAAAGAGGCAGACAGGGGCATTGTTAATAGAAGAATAGAAGAACTTACCCTCGCGATTTGAAGAGAAAGGGTTCCTCGATCGAACCAGTATTCTTCCCTGACTAGGAGGGTTCCTTAATCGAACAAGCTGTGAAACGAGGGAGAAGCGACGACGGTTAAGGTCGCGACGGTGGGAAGTGAGGCGGTGAAGGTCGAGACGGTGGGAAGCGACGGCGGTGAAGGTCGCGACGACCGGAAGCGACAGCGGTGAAGGTCGCAACGACGGTGGCGGCGACCTTTCCTCACTTCGTCTCTATCGTGAGCCAACCCAACCCTAGGATTTTGGGGGAACATTTGAAATGAAAAGGGGTAAGAAAGTTAATAAAATTAGTAGTTAATTGAAATCCTACGTGGAATCCTACGAGGCGGCTGACGTGTCCGGCACCGTTATAATTAAACTCACGGTAACGGGGTTCTATCCATTTAATTACGCGAAACAATAATTTTGGATAATACTTTGTATATTAATAGTTGTGGTCTGTGGATATAAATCCCCGATACATAATAGTTCTGGATATTATATTGTATTTTCCCTACTTTTTTTATATTTAAAATCATAATAAGACAAGACAAAATTCAGTAAAGATTTATGACTTATAAGTAATACTTCAATTTTAATTGATAAGATACGTTGTGCAATGAAATGAATGAGTTTTTGTAAAAATTCTAAAGTTAAACATACCCGATATAGAGTAGTGTAGAGATGGCGACCTATACTCGAACCTGTTCATATCTGGTAAGTGAAATAAATCCACATTAAAAAGCACGAAAAAATATCCATAGTTCATAAAAAAAAACAGTTCAACCTTAAATGACAAGGCATTTTTTGGGTGGAACGAAAGAGTAATTGTAATACATATGAAGTTACGTGTTTAGTGTTTAGTGTGAATCAATGGAATATCAGTGACCTTCTAAATAATTAATCACCATGATGACCCCAAAATCAAAGTCGTATGAAAATTCGCCCAAAGTGGACAATTGTTTGGTCAGAGAAAGGATTGGAATGTTGCAACTTGCAAGACCCTTTGTATAAAAAAAAACCCAAGAGTAATTTTACAAGAATATTCCAGAACTGAGACACTTTTCATTTACGTATTATAAGGGTTGTTTGGAAGTTGTGATTGTTAAATGGATCTATTGTTGTGAATGCATGTATAATATTATACATGTATTGTCGAATTTGATGCATTGTAGAATACAACGTTTGGTATGTCTGATTGTTTATGTCACATCAGCTAAAAGCTGAGACAAAACAATATTAACTCAACTATCTTAACAATCACAACGAAAAGTTGAGATATAACAATCACTCATTTTGAGTGATAGTTTTTTTCACATCACAGAAACAATCCATGCATTGTTTCTGATAAAAAAAACAAAAAAACGATGCATTCTAAACAATACATGTATAGTAACAATCTCAACAAAACAATCGCAGCTACCAAACGACCCCAAGTCTATGTGATGCTCTAAAATACAACACCTAACAATGGCCAAGTGTAACCAATGAAAGGGACTGCAGTATAGTGGCACAAGTAATAAATATCGAATCCACGGGTCTCTAGAGTTACTATTACTCAGCTTCAGTTCATTATCTAGCAGACTAGATTAAGGATTGATTAACTAAACTACTCTACTAACTAAACTAAGTAAAACTACTAATTACAGTTTGGGAACTCACTTAGGTATGATTCCCCCTAGATCCTTAGTTAGGTCCAAGTTGTAATTCCTTTTGGTTGATTTACTGTTGATTAAACTGCGGAAGATCCGACAATAGCTTGGAATCTCTTAAGCTGACCAAGCCCTCTTAGTCTAACTATCCGGCAGACGACTAGTCTTCACCGGGATAGAAAGCTGAAGCAATAAGCACAGAACTCCACTACTGGAATTGGATTCCAGTACAAAGCAGTAAACTGGCTAACTCTCGTATAGCCAATCTCCTACTACCGAATGATGAGACTCTAGAAACCTAATCAGATTCTATCTATCTCAGATTGCAGCAGGAATCAGGAAAAGTTGATCAGACTTCAATTGACTCAATAAACATGCATCATTCGATTAAAATCAAACAATATAGCATCCAAAACTTTATACAAGAAATATCCTAACTCATGGAACTAAGGTTCCTCAAAACCTAAGTGAAGGGAAGTTACTCCATAGAGAAGAGAGAGACTGCAGAAATCTGATCTAGATCTTCAATCTCCATCTCCAAGCTTGATACCCGAGCTCCAATGGCGAAGAAATCCTCCAAAATAGCTCCAAGAATGTTCCCAAGTCGCTCTCTCTCTCTAGGGTTCGTCCCTTGGGTGTTTGGGATCCAAAACCCAGCTCTCCTCCTTTCCTTTTGCTGAAAATCGGGTTTTAAACAGCAATTCCCGACTCACACGGCCAGGCCACACGGCCGTGTGGCTTTCCCAGCTGCCCGTGTGAAAGCTCGGTGATTTCCACACGGCAACATGGCCAGGTCACACGGCCGTGTGGGTTGTGCCCGTGTGGCTTGCTCAGCCTCTGTTTAATGCTTCGTTTCTCCCTCGTCCGGACTCTGAATCAGTCGCCGTTTGATCCCAGACGCTCGTAGTCTCGTCCTCTTTCTTTTCATGACAAGCTTGCATGATTCTTTGTCCATAAAGTGAGGTAGAAATCCATTCTTCTTCAGGTCATACCCGAGTTTCTTCTCCCGAATCGTCAATTGATCTCTGATTGACTTGAAACTTGCGCCTATGCTTCACTTTATGTGCTAGGACCTGAAATGTTACAAAGGAACACAAACTAGCGTAAAATAGGCCAAAGACACGATAATTCAAGCTCAAACAATCAAGAAACAAAGGGGAAAACATGTGCAAATACCGAGTCATCAAATCCCCCCCACACTTAACTGTTTGCTTGTCCCCAAGCAAACCTAACTCAAACCAATGCAGCTCTCCAGAGCTCTATAGCAACATACAACCCCGATCGTCGGTAGAGGATTTCCTAGATCATATAGCAGCTTACGAGGTCAACTGGTCTTCTAAGACGTTCCCTATCTCTCTCAATGCGAGTACTAGACTCAAGCCAGGATCATGAGAAAAAGTAGAAGTAAGACAGTCAATTCATGGATAAAGGGACTCACACTATTCACAACCAAGGATTCGTTGTACCGGGGTGCTCTTTCACTTCATTTCACCGTTGGAACCCCTTTTTCTCACTTTCATTTACATTTTTTCTTTCATTTGGTGGGGTTCCAACTGCAGTCTTTTGCACGGTCGACCCTTATTAGTCGAGCAAGAGCAATTTATCTACATCTGGAGCTCGCCAGAGTACTTCTTTTAACTCCTTTTACTCAACTCGTGTGGAGGGTCAATGAAATTAAGGGGGGTCGGAAGCTCTATCCGTGCCCTTAAAAACACATCCTCAAGTAGGCAAACCGTTCAACGGGTGGAAGTTTTACTTGTACTAGAGACAACTTAGCTTCACCTTGTAGGAGTACCCCACTAAGGATCACTAAAATCTCTTCCAAAACTCGATTTTGTGCAATGAACGGTGCCGCACACGTTGGACTTACCCCATGTTTAAGATTTAATGATTTTGACATGGAGGACCAACTGCTTCCCATTTTCCGTATGAGCACCCTGTTCGATACACGAGTCCATAACATAATCCAAACAGAGTCACCATTACCACATGAATTCAACGGTCTTAGCTCCACTAATTCACAAAATCAACTGGCACAACAGAGAGCTAGATAGGAAAAATCTTATACTTCAACATCGTCCATAGTGCTACACTACCTCCCTAGGTTGCACATTACTATAGAGACTGTCAATTCAAAGCATACTGAGCAGGCAATTTGCAAGGAAACACATACTTGGAGCCCTCACATTTAAAAATTTGGACAGTGAACTAGGCTCCAAGCACACAAACAGCCAAACATTCACCCGCATACATAATCGAACACCCCCCCACACTTAAGCATGACATTGTCCTCAATGGAGGAAAGATAAGGAGGGTAGAACGAAGTTACCAGATCAAGGGTGAATGATGATGTACGGGTCAGGCAGTGCATTCCAGGAAGAGAGAGTAATCAGAACACAAACACCACACAAAATCTCACAAAGGTTGAGTTATTGACTCTAAAATCATATAGCAAAACTGACTCAACCGAGGAGAAATAGAGAAAGAAATGCAAACCGACTGGTTGGGTTGCCTCCCAACAAGCGCTTCTTTCATGTCGTGAGCCGGACGATGGCTCCTAAGTTTCGGTCCATGCTAGAACCTCCTTGAAGTTGAGGTTCTCGTCGATGAGGTGGAATCTCAAGTCACGAGCATGTGGTGTGGCAGGTGATGAAGGCTCATGTACTTGATGCAGATGAAGTCTCCACCCTCGAGACCTCTTCTTCTCTTCTCTCGTCTCATTGCCCCAAACCAGATATGACAGCATCGATTGGCCACCATCGCGTCCACCAAGAGGGGCCGATGTCGATGTGGCCTTGGTCTGGCAAAGAGACACTGCAAATGGGTCCTTGCCAAGTAGCTCCTCGAAGTTTGGTGGAGATATCAAATGTAACATAGGGCCGGTGCAAGCCTCTTCCACCTCAACTTCATCCTCAGCCTGGACACCAATTGCTCCCTCAACCCCCCTTTCTTCTTCAAAATGTGGTCTCTCCCCTGGGAAAAGATCAAGAACCACCTCTTCTTTTCTTTCTTCCTCATCATCCACAACTTCCTTCCTCATCCTTGCTCACTCTTCTTCTTCTAGAACAGATTGGAGAGCAAGTCGCCAAGCAATTTCTTCAATGGGATCATCTTGCATCTCCTCGCACGGGCCCAGCATGTTAGAGCATAAATGAGGAAAGATGTGGTCTGCAACCAAAGGACTTTCCTGATCATGATTATCATGGGGGTTCTCTGTGATAACTTCTGTATGCTCCTCAACGCTCCCATAGCCTTTGTCATCCTCCACCTCTTCTAGCGTGGTAGCAGAAAGGTGATCTTGGGCAAGATGCGAGCAAACTTGCTTCACCCACTATGTTTGCTTCGCTGAGCGCTGAACAGTCTCCTCCATATCATGGAGAAATGAGGGATCGAAAGTGGCAAGGGCTTTGATTTGAAGATCCATCTTAGAGCATGATTTCTCAGTGTCTCGAGCAAACTGCTCCACGAGAAGCCTTAATTGTTCGTTCGGATCCTCCAGTGAAGTGTAGCATGGCTCTACAGAGTGGCCCGTTAAGGCCTCCATGGCTAACTCCAGCTCTGATGGCCCTTCTGGTTGTGGGAGAAAGTCTTCTTGGTAATGAGATTGTTCTTGATATGCCCAGGGGTCTGATTGTTCTCCGTAGTAAGGGGGTTGGTACTGGAACCCGAATCCATAGTCTTCTCCTCCTTGATTTCTCCAGAGAGTCTCGGGGTAATACCACTCGGTTGGTGGTGGATACCCCCAATGGTTGGAGAAGCCATGAGGATCCATGATTCAGATCTGCACCAACAAAAACAAAAAAAACACCCAAGTGAAAAGCAAGGGTGGAAAAGAAAAGAAAAATGCTAAAGTAACAAACTTCTGCCTTTCCTAATAATCTTGAAAGTCCCCGGCAACGGCGCCAAAAACTTGATGCTCTAAAACACAACACCTAACAATGGCCAAGTGTAACCAATGAAAGGGACTGCAGTATAGTGGCACAAGTAATAAATATCGAATCCACGGGTCTCTAGAGTTACTATTACTCAGCTTCAGTTCATTATCTAGCAGACTAGATTAAGGATTGATTAACTAAACTACTCTACTAACTAAACTAAGTTAAACTACTAATTACAGTTTGGGAACTCACTTAGGTATGATTCCCCCTAGATCCTTAGTTAGGTCCAAGTTGTAATTCCTTTTGGTTGATTTACTGTTGATTAAACTGCGGAAGATCCGACAATAGCTTGGAATCTCTTAAGCTGACCAAGCCCTCTCAGTCTAACTATCCGGCAGACGACTAGTCTTCACCGGGATAGAAAGCTGAAGCAATAAGCACAGAACTCCACTACTGGAATTGGATTCCAGTACAAAGCAGTAAACTGGCTAACTCTCGTATAGCCAATCTCCTACTACCGAATGATGAGACTCTAGAAACCTAATCAGATTCTATCTATCTCAGATTGCAGCAGGAATCAGGAAAAGTTGATCAGACTTCAATTGACTCAATAAACATGCATCATTCGATTAAAATCAAACAATATAGCATCCAAAACTTTATACAAGAAAGATCCTAACTCATGGAACTAAGGTTCCTCAAAACCTAAGTGAAGGGAAGTTACTCCATAGAGAAGAGAGAGACTGCAGAAATCTGATCTAGATCTTCAATCTCCATCTCCAAGCTTGATTCCCGAGCTCCAATGGCGAAGAAATCCTCCAAAATAGCTCCAAGAATGTTCCCAAGTCGCTCTCTCTCTCTAGGGTTCGTCCCTTGGGTGTTTGGGATCCAAAACCCAGCTCTCCTCCTTTCCTTTTGCTGAAAATCGGGTTTTAAACAGCAATTCCCGACTCACACGGCCAGGCCACACGGCCGTGTGGCTTTCCCAGCTGCCCGTGTGAAAGCTCGGTGATTTCCACACGGCAACATGGCCAGGTCACACGGCCGTGTGGGTTGTGCCCGTGTGGCTTGCTCAGCCTCTGTTTAATGCTTCGTTTCTCCCTCGTCCGGACTCTGAATCAGTCGCCGTTTGATCCCAGACGCTCGTAGTCTCGTCCTCTTTCTTTTCATGACAAGCTTGCATGATTCTTTGTCCATAAAGTGAGGTAGAAATCCATTCTTCTTCAGGTCATACCCGAGTTTCTTCTCCCGAATCGTCAATTGATCTCTGATTGACTTGAAACTTGCGCCTATGCTTCACTTTATGTGCTAGGACCTGAAATGTGACAAAGGAACACAAACTAGCGTAAAATAGGCCAAAGACACAATAATTCAAGCTCAAACAATCAAGAAACAAAGGGAAAACATGTGCAAATATCGAGTCATCACTATGCCACCAAAAGAGAATCTCCTCTCGTCAATATATTCCAGATTTGGCGGGTTGTAGAGTATCGGCTATCCCCTATTCCAATTCCCTTAAATGATCTGGCACATCAAGTTTTTCCCATGACATAAATACAACTCTTGTTCATTCATTTTGACCATCCACACTTCTAATATATCGCAAGTCCCACTCGAATTAACAAAATGTAACTTACCACGGTGAGCAGGACGCTAGTAGGAGAACTGCATTAAAGCAGCTGCCAAATTTACTGTTGCCCATAATATGCATCCATCAGTTAGTTTCCCACATCATCGTTGTCACAGCATGAAGGGTCTCGAAAGAAATTGGGTGATGCTTACTTCATAAATACATCTTACTCGAGAAATTACCAAACAATATATCATCCAAAAGGGCCAAAATGTACTTGTATCACAAGGGAACTTGAAGTCTACTAAGCTATTCTCAGTAGAAGAAACTGAAATTCAACTAGAAGAAGGTTCACAGACCAATAACCGGCCGTTATCCCACAATGTGATTTCTGTACTCGGCAAATTTAGCCATGAGGCATACTTGTAACTGTAAGAACTTGCATGAATACCCGAGTATTCATTAGGCGGGACCAAATTTCAGCAATCTTGATGTGATATCGACTAGCACGATATTTAACTCCCATGGTCCAAAAATGAAGATTCGAATTGAAAGATATAAGGATCAATTGGGAGCATTTTTAATGGATAAGTGAACGATTATAGCTGCTGCTCGTTATGCCACTCACGTGATGGTGCATAAGAGAATTAATGTTGGGAACGAGTTCATTGATAGTTGGTGTACATGTGGCATGTGAGGGTTCTCTTCGGATTTGGATCACATCAAGTGATATCAGAGCTCGGTTCAAACTCAGCGGCGATTGAAAATCACTGGTTCATACACAGTGGAGAAAAGAAGATTTTTTGAAGGTATTTTTATCGTTAGTTGCTGGAAAAAAGAAGAAAAAAAAAACTATTTTGATTTTCGTTTCTTTTGTTTTGTATAACAAAAAAGAGAAAAAAAACATTGTTTTCTATTTCATTAGTTTACGTGAGTTGGTACTTGCTAAACAAAAGAGGATTTTTTTTTAATTTATTTTTGTTCACGTGAAAAAAAAAGAGTTGTGTTTTATTTTTTTTAATTTTCGTGTACTGTTCACGTGGAAAAAAATACAAGAAAAAAAAATTGTCTTATAGCCACAAAGCTGTACGCGTGGGAAGAATTTTTTGTTTTTGTTTTTGTTAGCTCTTGAAAGGCAACAATAGAGCAAAATCAACGATTCACGGAGATGATGAAGCAAATGCTCAAGACGACAGAAGTTATTCTTCAAGGATTAAAGGGGAATAATGCGCCAGCAACAATAATCCAACCTGAAGCTCATTTGACGATAGGGAGTCCAAATTCAAAGCAAGATCTCGAGCAAAGGGAGAATAAATTTCAAACAAGATGCTTAGTGGATGGTAAACTACTATCGGTTTTGATTGATGGAAAGAGTTGCACTAATTTGGTGAGTGAATATTCGGTGAAGAAATTGGGGTTAAACACATTGAAACATCCAAAACCCTACACTCTTCAATGGCTTAATGAAGATGGATCAGTTGAGGTCACCAAGCAAGCCATATTGAAGTTTAAGATTGGACGCTATAAAGATGAAGTCCTTTGTGATGTGGTGCCAATGGAAGAGGCTCATGTTTTGCTTGGAAGACCATGGCAGTTTGATCAAAATGGACAACAAGATGAAGTCACCAAGAAGTACAAGTGGTCGCATAGAGGCCAGAAGTTCGTATCGTAGCCTTTATCTCCCAAAGAAATCTATGAGGATCAACTTCAAATGCAACAGAATTTGAAGAAGGAGAAAGAGTTTCAATCCAAAGTCGAAGAGGAAGTCAAAGAAGAAGTGGAAGAGAAAGAAGAGGTTCTTGTTGATGGACTTACTATAGTCACTTGCAAGTCTGTTCATCTCTCTTTCTCACTAGCTTGACGAACCAGGGAGGTCATTGGCACCTAAAGGTGGAGAAGGCGTTGCTCGCCTGGATCGGGCTTGAAGGTAGGCAACATCAAGGATCGCTTCGGCTTCAACTCGAGACCAGCACCCCTGCGACGACTCGACGTCTTCTCCGGAAGGTCCGTAACCCTAGTTGGGAGATACGAAAACGTAAACGCTCCTGGCTGTGGGATGAGTATAATCCCTCAACGGGAATAATTTTATCAACCTCGAGCCCTGCGAAAAAAGGCAGAGTTGCTCGCTTGAAGGGATGGCAATTTTGGCTCCCTTCGTCGTCCGATCTGGTAGGCAAGGAATCGCTATTATCCAAGACCGATGGTTTTATCAATGATATTCATGTCCGTGAATGGAAACAATCCCAAGTGCATGAGGATCACGATCCCTTGCCTACAATGTATATCTCGAAATCCAACCCTGTGAAGAAAGGAAGCACTGTCAGAATAGTTGACCGGAGATTCTGGACCCCTTCGTCGTAGGATCGGGTAGGTGATGAACCACTGTTGCCCAGGGCCGATGGGTCTAGAAAGGGTGATACACGACGACCTGATCCTCAGCTTGATCAGGGTGTTAGGGATTTTCGGGTGCAAGCGGCGGCTGTTCGTTCGTTAATAGTTAAAAAGCTGCCGGGAATTTCTCCGGCAAGTACCGACGGCAATTTGGTCGGTGAGACACCTGGCCAAACCGAGTGGGTTTCATCCTTCCAATCCCGTGGAGGAGGGGCACATCAGATTTTGGGGATTGGGTCGAGATTTTCTCGTTATGTTTCGTCGGGTTTGTTACAAGGATCCCGGGGTATTCTTGTTCAACGGAAAGACAGGGGTAGGGATCCTCCTACATGGTGGACTCCTTTTCCTATTCCAACTCGACGTCCCTTCCAAAACGCGTCCCCGGGATTCCGATCCTATCTAAACAATTGGGCTATATATGTACCCACGGCAACTGGACCGCTTATCCTTTCTACTCAACAAGTGCGACGGCCAGGAATAGCTGTTGTGGTGGAGAGCCCAATCCCCGTGCCTTCGATTGCGGTCTGCTCAGGTATGATGGAACCCCAATTCCTTTGTTCACCCTCTCCCTACGTCGATTATCCTAAGCATCCGCCTGTTAAGCAATCGTGCCCTAGCCTTCCGTTGGGCTCCATTCCATTGGCTGACAAGTTGCTAGGGTGTGCTTTGCTGGATTTTAATATAATTCCTTCGTCTTCTTGCCAGGTGCTGTCTAAAATGGCCCACGTTACTGAGGATCAAGTAGTGCAATTCTCCCTTGAGGAGGTACAATCAACCCGATACCGAGCATCTCGCTCTCTCCTTGGCCGATTGTTCACAAATGATCAGATTACCACCCTGGAGCTAAGGGACGGATTGATTGATGCTTGGAAGATCAGAGGCCAGCTTAAGGTCTCAAGGACTAATCATGGTCTCTTCGAGATTGTCATGCCGAATGAGGAAGCTAAGAAGTGTGCTTTGTCTCGGAACCCCTGGATCATTAATGACAAGCTGCTCATCCTCCGTGCATGGTCGCCTGTTATATAAGCAGGGACCTTTGATGATATGTCCAAAGCTCCGTTCAGGATCCAGCTATGGGGAGTTAGAGAATAGTGTTGTACCAAACTCTTTGGTCAGAAATTCATAGCCGCGGCGATTGGTAAAGTCTTGGAGTCAAGTGTTTTTGCTTTCAAAGACACCAATGAGCGTTTTATAAAAGTTAATACGATGATTGACTTCTCTCAACCCCTCCGATCCCAATTGATGGCGGTTAGTGAGGAAGTCGACAGCTTCTGGGTTAGCCTCAAGTACGAATTCTTGCCAAGTTTCTGTTTCCATTGCGGCCGAGTTGGCCATGCACTTCGGGATTGTGTCTTCGATCCTCCGCATGGCAAAGAGAGGTTCGGTCCCCACATGGCTACTAAGAAATTGGGCAGGAGGATATATGATGATGATGGGGACGCCCAGCTCTATGGGGCACCTAGGTGATCCGTTTGGATTAATCGTCAAAGCCGCAACCCTGCACCGGTGATAGGGCGTGGTGACGTCGACATGGAGGACAGGGATTACACCCAACAGTCGAAAAGAATGCCCCATGGTGGTCCTGCGCAAGCTGGTAGGGGATCTGCTGCCCTTGGGAGGTCGAAACCGAGCCAGCCGAAGGGGTTGGTAGGCTCGCCAAGTCGTCGCAATAG